CACCGGTCCACAGGAAGCTGGACCGAAGCCAGAGTGAGCCTGCACCATCCGCACTTCTTAGTGCGGCCAACGCCAAGGCCGCGAACATCAACACTAGCCGATACAAGACGGAGCTGTGCCGACCGTTCGAGGAGAGCGGCTCCTGCAAGTACGGCGACAAATGTCAGTTCGCTCACGGCGCCCACGAGTTGAGGAACCTCGTTCGCCATCCCAAGTACAAAACTGAATTATGTCGCACGTACCACACCATAGGATTCTGTCCCTATGGTCCCAGATGCCATTTCATCCACAATGCAGATGAAGCCCGCACCAAGGCGCCTGGCACCCACGCGATGGCTCCCACGAGTTCATCCGCAACGTCGGCTGGCATCCCCAACAGACCTAAGCCCCTGAATCTGACTGGTAGCCCCTTCATGGTCACAGGCTCGACCGCCGATTCACCCTCGCCTACCTCAAGTCTCAGTCAGTCCCCCACGACATCAGTCGGGTCGTTCTTCTCATCCGAACAAGATCTTTTCTCTACAGTAGCTGTCATGTCTGCAGCTTCTCCGCCACCATCAGCTACTTCTGCTAACACTGCCTTCTCCTTTGGTCAAGACTTCACTCCCTTGGTTCATCTCGGAGGTACTAAGCAGCAGAGCCCCGCTCCTACATCGCCACCGGTAAGCGTGTCCCCTGCAAGATCGCTCAGTCCTCGTGGATCGCCTCCTCCTGGCACCCCCGAGGCGCGATTACCAGTCTTCAACAGGCTGAGTGGCACGATGATGGACTTTGGCGGCCTGGCCGAACTCCTGGCTTGAAGCAGTGCGAGGCTTTCCGTCTCGTATTTCCCCGGCTTTCGCTAACAATTCCAGCAGTTCCCATGGAACTATTACGTGAATTCAACTGTTCCGAATCAGTAAGGAAATTTAACTTCTTATTCTATGTAATATACTTTTCCCCCCTTTAGGTATTAGTAATTTTATATTGCTTTTTTTAGTTCTGGTAGGAACAAATAGACTGGTCAGAATATTTATTATGGCATTCCAGGTTATAGGAAGTTACAGAACATTTCTATTCGAGGCTGTGTGGGTTGGATGATCGATAGAGTTGGTATGTGCCTTATTCAGATGGCAGCGAGCAGGGATTAGGCAGGCCTTCATTTGAGGAGTCTTATTTTATTTAAATATATAAATTATATGATAAAAGCTATGATGTGATTGAGTTTTTTGTTCCCACGGTTTGAATGATCTTCAACTTGGCAATAATATTATATTATTATTTTTTTTATTATTTGAGAGTGTCGTCGCTGACATTTGTCATTAACGTCTGTGTGCGCAAATACATTTTATTTTATGTTTATCCCCATCATTTCAAGTAATTCACTGCAACCAAAAGCCATTCAGTATGTGATACATTGTGCTGTTTATGACTTGGATTTGAAAGGAATATTTTAAAATACCGTTCAGAAGATTAGGCAATACAATATTTTTTTAGCAAATATCGGACGGACACTGGGCAGATGCGTCTGGACGTACCAAGTCAATGACGTACAAGTCTTCCAGTTTGTCGTGTGGTAATTTTTCTCCGTATTTCTCACGGGTTCATTAAAATAAATTGAAACTGCTGTAGAGGACACGGACGCATCTGACGTGGATAATGACGAGAAACCTCTCATTAATTAGTGTTTCGGGTCGCTGTATGATCTTTTTTTTTTTTTTTTTTCCTGTGCCGAAATTTTCTGATCCCATTTCAAAGTTGAACTGATCGAAAAGCCAATTAGGTGAAGTCCTGAATCCAAAATTATTAATTAGGATGTAATTATTTTAAAACTTTCACTCCTTGATTTTTTTTTTGCCAATATCTGTAATTATTTTTTTTATTATTCTAATAATTTATCTACGATGGTTCTCTAACCAGTTAAATATAATTGTTTCCATTTAGTAATTCTTAGCCCAAAAAAAGACTTGAACATTTAAACAGGTGCAGATTCCATATTAACTTAATTAGTTATAAATTAATTTATTTAATTTTAAGAAATAAGTTAAATCAAATCACAAAGATTTTTCATTTTGCCTGGTTAGAGCTCAAGCTGTAATATTTGACTGATCATTTATTCTTTTTTCATTTGTGTGTAATACTTTCCATGTTATATTTGTATTTATATAACTTATTATTTATATCAAAAATGTGTATTTATCAGTTTATTATAATAGTAAATAAAACCAATTAAATCCAGTTTTATATACATTTTTGTGTGCAAATAGTGTTGTGTTCTTAGAGAGAGAGAGACGCACACAGTGTTTATATATCATTTTAAATTATATTGTTTATTTAAAAATAAAACAAATGTAACCATCTTTTTCAAAAGTTGACGTGGACCAAGATCCTGTTTGTGACGACCATTTTGAAGTAAAGCTTTTCAAGAGTTTGATATCAGTTGGGTACGCGGTGTAATCACACCACTTTTTTTTTAATCTACGTTTGCATTTATGTATCTTATATAATTGCTTTTATATAAGGAGTGAGTTTTGACTAGCTTTGTTATGTTTGCTGTACTGTATTCATAAGGTAGTATCGCACTACAGCCTTGTACCCCTCTGCATTGAAATACTTCTTGTGTATTCTTTACAATCAACAAAAAATTTGAAAAGGATGAATATATAATTTTCTAGCATTTTCAGAAAGTTATTTTCTTTATTCCCCTGTCTTTGGTCAAGTCCTTTCCCCCCCCATTCCTTTTTAACGCAATAAAAAATCGTATTTTGGCAGCATATCATTTGAGAGTCGGAGGTTCTCACCATGAAGATGGCTGGCATCTGGTCTAAAGCACTAGTCTGATACTTGTAAGAAATGATACATTCTGAACTCTACTTCGAATTTCCGGAGGATCGAGTTGAAATTCTGTCCGGAGTCTGGGCATTCTGTTTTTCGTATTTCCTTGGATATGTCCGGGTATTACATTTAATTAGGCCACGACAGCTTCCTTCCATATCCCCTCCAGTTATTACGTTCAACGCTGTGTAGTCTTGAGCTGCTGAAAAACGTCGTTTAACTACGTATAAATCCAAAGGTTCGCCTAGCGTGTCCTATGATATGAGTCGGTAGTTCATTTTTGAAGGAAAACTTTGTTCTAAAAATTTTCTCATTGCAAACCATGTTGAATGGAGATTGTCGGGAACACTTGAGCCAAGGGGAAGGAACTACGCGATTTGTAAGAACCGACCTATTGTGGGTAGGGCAGGTTGGCAGACGAAGGATGCAACAAATGCTTACAAAATTTTGGCGAAGACACTAAAACTTCGATTTGAAAGACACATGAAAATGACACTTGAATCTACAGTCAATTATATGGTCTTGATCTTGCTAATGACTTGGAAGTATACATTTATGTAACTATATGAAGCACAGCTGATGGTCGCTCAGCTACAGACTCGTCATTTATGAAACCCTATGTAAGGTCTACCTGGACCAGTTTATACAATTACCCTTCCAGGGCATGTTTAAAAATTCATTTTAATGTCCTGTGATCAATCTGTGGGTCTCGGAAATGGGGAAACGCCCATTTAGAACTGGCGAGCGTAATTATAAAGTGGATGCTATGAGAAATTGTGTAACTGGACTTGAGGTCCACTGTCGTGGCTTCGTCCTACGAAGGGCAAATCGTGGTACGGCAATGTCTAGTGCGCACTGCAGTCGGCTGAAGTGACTGATAACGGACTCTTGTTTACAATGGAGCAGTAATACTTTCTGTTGGGAAATTCCACTCCTTATCAGCAATGGACCTTGTTAACTTTCCGAGCGTAGAATTACGTGGTGACGCGAGTAGATGTGAATGTTTCAGACACTAAACTTTGGATTGCTTCTGAAACTGTTACTGACATCACAGATCATTTGTCAGTCCCAGTGCACACAGGCATAACACATGAACATCAAAAAGACTTTGGAAGGAAACTCGTGGACTATTTTGATACTCGACGATGGACACGAGACTTTTTCTTCAAAAAATTAATTTTGAATCTGCACAGTTCGGAGGCCTCTGGTTGATCCATCAACCATCAAAATGAATGGGTCATCGTATGAGAGATTTACTTGTGACAGCCCTCACTTAAACTTTCAAGCTCCCACAATAGAACTCTTTTGTCTCCTGCACTGCCTCGGGAGCTTTTTAAAACTTTCTCTGAGAAACTGTTTACGGATACTTTTAAGAATAGATACTGTTCCAACACTGAGTTGGTATTTTGGTGTCCATACGTCAACGTTAAACGTTAAACGCAGAGATTCAACTGAACTACACAACTTCCCAATTAAAACAATTAAACCACGGAGCCCAAACATTCAGAAGACAAGAACAACATCGACTCACAGGTCCTTGGATTTTGTGTTGCAAAGGCAACGAGGACTGTGCCAGAATTTCCCGATGACAGGTAAAATTGTCCATCCGATACGAGACTGGTGTGACAGAGGAGAGAAAATTCCTACCCCTGCCGAGAACAGAACTCCGGTCATCTAATCGGTAGGTTAAGCCGTCGAACTTCTGAAAGAGCATATGAAGTCTTGTCCTGACGATGGAGGCAGTAAGGGCCTCTGAAACATTCGTAAACTTGTACCAGACTGTGCGGTGTCACAACCCAGAAGGCAGTCGTGTTCGCAATTAGGAAACATTCTCGACGCAGAATGTTTAACGAACCCTGAAAGATGGACGTAGTCTCTTCCTCCGAAACAGTGGTGGCCTCTTGTGGAGACGGCAATAAGCTCCAGGGTTCCAAATAAAAGACGACGAATTTCCTGATCAGCCGAGCGACAAGGAGGATTCTGGAGTCGGTTAAGCGTCTACTCTTGCAGTGACCTGTACTTTGTGCGTACTTTACTAAGCCGAGACAATGTAGGCTAGCAGTTCTGCGTGCAGAGTTCTGGTATT